TGACTACTGGAGTACATGAATAAATTTATTTATTGAACCGATTGACATCTTCACTGAACAAAGTGAAATTCTTGTTTGTAGCATTAAAATATATCCTCGAATAAAAGCGTTTAGGAATCCCAATTGATAAGATGGTGGTTGGAGGTAGTCAACATGAAACCCTGGACCCGGGTTTCGTGCTACTGGGCACTCATCAGCAAGGTGTACCTGTATTATTCTTGAGGGAACTGATACTCTCTGATGGATTCGATCCAGTGTCACCCAGCTCCACAGTCAGAGACGTTACCAATGAGCTATCCGGGCCGTAACGGACCTTTAGGACTGAAATGTATTTACAATTGATTGATCACCGCGTGATGATCAATGTCATGTATGTCAGGTCCTTTTTAGTGCAGATTGAATCCGTCAGGGAGCACTAGTTCCCTCAAAAATAATACAGGTACACCTTGCTGACGAGTGCCAACTAGCACAAGACCTAGGCCCAGAGTTTCCTGTTGACTACCTCCAACCACCATCTTATCTCAACATAGTGCACGCAATGTCGAGTTTCCTAGATTGGTGGCCACATTGCAACTTGGTTGATAGATTTCAATCTGCACTAAGAAGGACCTAACATACATGACATTGATCACTACGGAGTGAGCAATCAATCGTAAATCCCTATTGGTAATTTACGAGAAACCGTAAATGATTATTGTTAACTACATTTAAATTTTTCAATTCCTTTATCTTAAATTAAGGAACAACGAAACCTGACAAAAATGTAAAATAATAATCTGGTTGAAAGAACGGTTGGTTGTTTTAATGCGTTTTTTGATTGAGTGAAGGTAGGCTTTGAAGGAAACTATATGAAGTAAGCAAAGAGTTACATATAGTTCGTGACCGTTAACGTCACATCTCGAGAAGGAACGTGCGTCTCAATGGAAAAAGTATTTAGAATATTGGAAGCTTCCATTGTAGGTTATGTTTACTACTGTTAGCAAAGCCTCATAAAATGACGGGTTTATTGCTAGGAAAAATAAGTACGATGCTAACAAAAGCTAGTCAAAAATTTTCCACCCTCAGAATGATTATGTCAATAACGTTGGGAAATACCAGAATTTAGAAGTCATGAAAAGTCGGTAGCTAGAGTAATAATATGTGCACTGAGATGTAGTGTACTTCCATTGTCAGAGGTTGCTACAATAGTCACTGGAAGCAGTCAGGAAGTTTGTATATCTGGATAGTTGTGTAATTGCTGGTAGCAGTGGGAATGATGTAATTAGACTATTTGTAGTGAAAATTAGAGCAAACTTATGATAACATAGACTATCTTTGGTAAAATATGGGTAAACAATGGACCGATGAGACGTATTCTTTCCAAGCCGTACTTACGAGTGTGTTTGAGCCCCCAAATGCCCTGATACGGCTGAGAGTGGGGAGAGTCCGCTCTCCCTCTCCGAATGCTCTCACATGGCCACGCGTATATAACCTCTGCCAGGGAAATCCTACTCACTGCCTTCTTGTGACACAGGTGTTGTTTACGAAAATGAGAGGACGAAAAGTGAATGTCCGGCGCTTTAACCGGATCCCAAACCAATGGTGCACATAGGCTCCAGTATCCTGAAGGAACAGATGGCGTATGAACCAATCGTTGGTCACCGGCCACCATGGAACTGCATCTCCTTACGATGCTACACTGCCTTGTGGGTCAGACGTTCAGGTCGAAGGCTCGGGGTGTGGCCCTCTAAGGAAACCACCTGCTTCGGTTTGGGCACTCTGGCAGTATCACAGCCCTCACACAAATTAAATGAGATTTGTGTGGCGCATATGTATTTGGTACCTCCCTGTACCAATATCTATGTGTTAAAATAAATAATAATACGAGTGTGTTTGACTGAAAGATTGCAAACTTCTAGTAGGGATATGGTGCCGAAGAATTATGCCATAACTGAATGGATAATGAGTGACTTACAAGCTAATTTTCTTCAATTACCCATAACATTTCATGACATTTATGTCCAAATTCTGTACACAAAAAGGTTGTTATCGCATAAAAATGTCTATTCATCTGGCCAGTGTTCATTGATTTTTAGTTATCCGAGGGTTTGCATCAATAATAGGTTTGTGAGCAGCCATCACAATCGGAAATTTTGTCTTACTATTTATTACCCCCCATTAACAAGCAGCAACACCGTTCAAGTAGTGCTGGGGTTCGGAAATATATCTAGGCATGATGAAAATGAGCTGATAATTTTATAAAATAGGGTTGCGGTATGAATAAATAGCAACTGTTAGATCATCATAATCCCGTGGTTGGAGTGAGAATGTGCGGCTTTAGACGTTACTAGGTATGGATTATATCCTACAGTAATTCACTGTTGTATTCTTTATGAAAGTGAGGTAAACTTTTTTGGGTGGGATGTGACTACGTATTTAAAGGTTGTATAGTCAACCGTATTTTTATTCTTTTCTTGATGTGAATATTGGATTTTGTGAGGCACACTTTTGAGTGCTTTATTGTACTAAAATTCATGTTATAAATAAACCAAAACACTTCACCACGAAAAGGACTTACCGGCTATAGCCGAGCTAGTTTCTGGAGAGTACCATATGGTCAATATAAATTTCAATGATGCTTTAGGTCGTCTTTGACAACTAAGACAATAGCTATTCCTCTTGCGATATTCGTAGTCTGAGTCCGACGTTGAACTTGAGTGCATACTGCCGTTAACCACTTCGCCACATTTATTAGGTGAATATGAACGAACTTCAGCGACCGGCTGACCACCTTCCATGAATTTATAGTCGAAATTTGATAATTAATCCTTCACAGAAAATTGGGTAACTAGTAAATACATCCTGTGGGGCATAGAAAAGTAATAAAACAAATACAGAAGTTGGTATGGTAATGGTACACTAAAAGCTCTTCGAAAAATGTACAATATGACTGTACAGAATATTAGATTGATTACAATAGTTGGGGGAAATTGGAAATATTTTGTAACGACAGTTTACAAATCCTGGTAGCCAAGTTACTGTCCATGGCACAAACTTATTGTAAAGAAAAGCGATACCATAAGGATGTTCGAACATAAGTAGGGGGAACGGCGTCTTAAAACGAGATGAAACAGACAACTGCCAATTGCTAACATCGTTGGCCCATCTCTCAAAAAATCACTAGTTGTAGTCTAGTATTTTATTTATTGCAGACAGGAAAGGAGCATAAACTAGATCGTTACTGTTTTGGGTTCTAAAGTATGCATACATAATGGCAATCGTACAACGAATATTACATTTAATCTCTGGAAAGTATTCTATTCAATCGGTCAAATTATCTGAATTTTTAGGTGACAACACTAAAGATGTTTCATTTTGAGTAAACTTTACCAAGTCTATTCATCGTTTATCTATTTATTCGAATTCGTCGAATATACTGGTTTTGTAGAATTTGCCTGCATAAAAGCACTCTGACAAGACCAAGTAAATAAACGGAAAGATTATGTTAAGATAAAACGCTTTAAAAACGAATGCTTCGAGAGCTATGCGTTGAAGCAAAGAGCACCTTGTATAGTAATTCTGTAAGTGTGGACTTGATGAGGGTGAAGGACTAGTCTAAATATTGTTAACTGACAAGAAAGATACCAAAACTGCATGAGGACGAGTACAAACATAGGAGAAATTTACTGCCTAAATTAAGTTTGGCCAAACGACCATTTAGAAAGATAAGCATTAAATACAGACAGTAACCTCAACGATATCTTATGAGAATAGTAACGAGTTAGTTCATCAAATCATACGCGTTTACTAGCTGGTCAAGTTGGGACATGAAGTACGTCTACATAAATCATTGTACTGTTTAGCAGTCAGTCAAAATCAATTTACGATTTGGGATATGTGTGGTTTAATTCAAGCTTTCAATGTAATGACACAATCTCGAACACTAAGTGATTGTACTCGAAGACTTTGATGTCTTTTTACCACAGTTGGAGTTAGTATTCTCGTGATCTTGCTTTGGATTTCTGCTCATTGTACTGGTACTAAAAGGAGCAACTAGTATTACCATTTATACTGTCTTAAATAACTAACGACATAACTTGTTCAAATATTCAAATGTTTATGAACTTTAGATGTAAAATATCCCTGAAGGTATGTGGAACTGACCAATGAAGTTTTAGCTGTTGTGGAGAGTTAGGCCGGTATATTTGCAGACAGACAGTAAAGAACAACAAATATAAGGATAGTAGTTTAGGTTACCACAAAATGACTACTGAGAATCAATCGAAATAGGGTGACATGAGTAATGAGAAAATGTGAACGAACAGTGGCTCAGATACAGTAGCGAGGTGATCAAGAACTGAAAATAAGTGGAATATTGTCCGTTGCCGGTTGGAAAAGATTAGACACATAAATAGGTTAGTCTTTGAGGCTGCAGTGTAACTCTCCATAGTCAAGGCGAGCCAAATAATGTGCGAATCCAGAATAGAATTTGCTTAGATTCACTTATTTTTAAGAGGATTTCCGGCCGCTAAAAGTATGGTTACTCAATTAGCGATGGACCTGAGCAAAACATATGTTAACTTCACTAAGCCTTTACTATAAAGAGTCGAAATTGGCTTGATTTTAAAGATCTTACTGGAACTAGTTGAAATTCGTAGGAGCTTCTTCACTAATAGTTCTTAACTGATCGATATTGTAGTTTAACATACGAGCGGATTGTTTCGTGGCCATCATAACTTGTTGTTCAAAAAAGACTGAAGAAAGACTACATAATATATTTAAAAAAACGAGACTACACAAACACATAAATTGAGAAATCACTAAATGACATAAATCACAACGACCACGCAGTAACTCACAGGCACTCCAAATACGGAGATCTAAATTTCCCGCCTGTTTATGGAAAACTTAGACCTCTTTTCTCTCAAAATGCTTAATAATTCGAATTATCAAGTGACTCTACTTTTTCTCTTAAATTACTCTGTAAGTTTTGTTTTAGTTAACCGCCAAAAATGAAAGGTAGGCGCTACATAGTATGATGGTTTTTTAATGTGTTTATTTGGGTCAATTGTCATTGTTTTTGAGTGCAGAAGCTCATTACACTGTATCGTTTAACGTCCATCATGGTCTTCAATGTGATGATACAGACTTTCGTTTTGGAGAAGTTCAAAGCAGTTACAACTTTCCCACCGGTTTAATCTTTTTGCTTAACAATTTATTGCTGCTCTAAAGTTTTGTTACAATAAATCGAGGAAATTCCTAACGTAGGTTGACGTAGTGTGATGAATTTTTTCTTAGTTATGAGTACTTAAGTGTACACAGAAGACTTATGTACTGTTCTAAACGATTTGAGTCACTTAATCGATAGTTGTTGGAAGAAGTGCCGGTAAAGTATGCTTTGTTGGCTGCCGAAGGATAACGGGGGAAGCTCTTTGGTTATTGAATTAAGTATTGTCTAGTGATATTTTTTTGGAGAATACTATTGGGTTGTATTTCTGTTAATCACTGTTGGTACTCTGAATTTGCTGTAGTTAAAAGTCAAATTTTATGACATATACATGATAAATATTATCGCTCTTAATATGTTGATGACCCTCTGGTTTGGGGAAATCTACAAGCGACTAACCTCACGAATATTGCGTAAACTTAGGGGCCAAAAGATCTCGTCCCTTTTTTAACACTAGTATTAAATACTAATGTATAATAGGGATACATCGATTTCGTAATTTGAGTGGTCTTAGTACCACAATCCAATATCGAAAAGGATGTTGGCATCACCACATATGATGCTGTATGTGTCTCTTCTCATTGTCGTTCGCCGATCGACGAGGTATACTCTATTTTGATTTCTCTCTCGGTATATAAGTTTAAATAATGATTGCATTACTACTCCCTTCTGAACTTCAGGTAAGCGTCCCTATCAAAATAATTTGAAATTATGGAGTGCCTCTGTAACACCAAATCCTTTTGTCTTCTGGATCTCAATGTACTATGATTTAAGCTAAACACATTCTAATTCAGTTTATCGCGTGTTCGGAGTTGAAGAATATTTGGAGTATGTCTCGTATTTTACTTGAAGCTTCCAAGTCATTAAGCTCCTGCTAATTCCTAGATGCTTCAGCGTTTTGAACTTTTTTTTCTGGTGTACGTAACTAATTCATTAATATGTACTATATCACTCTAAGCTATCGGCAAGCTGTAGATAATAACTGTTGGTAGACTGTTGACGTATCTCCAAAGCCTTCCCACTTTTGAAAGGCTAGTGTGTGAGTCATTCATTGACGTATCATGCGATACGAAAGTTATCTTATTAATTTTAGAAACAGTCTGAGTCAGAATGACATGGCTCAAAGTTGTTTGCAATAGTTCAGTTGCACCCATTCTCTGTCTTTTCCGGAATTCTAAGCTTCTAAATCACTCATAACGTTCTCTTCATTTCATTTCATTATATGTTCTTAAGTCATAACTTCTATTTTTAATCCTCCCTGTTACCACCAATACTGTTACTACCCCTACTATTCTGAGATTTGGCCTGGCACCTTCATCTCTTTGTTTTAATAGGGTATGGCAATTTGAATCGATATGCATGCGAACAGGTCCCACATTGTAGCTGGCTGATTCTAGTAAAGGTATCTGCAGGACCGCATGGCCAGGGCTCGACTTATTGTGTCAGTTCATTGCAAAGCTGCATGAACTTGTTAGTGGGTGTCAAGCCACGTAAAGCCTAGGTTTAAGACATCTTGATAAATATTTCTAAGCTCCTAACATTGAAAAAATTACGTTCCTTTTAGTTGTTTTATTCTCTCAATGATTTTGATAGTAATTTCATGCATAAAATGATTTTTATGGAGCTCACTAATGAAACACTTGATTGTACTAATTGTTTAGTTTAGACGAAATTTATTGTAAATTGTTTTCGTCTAGCTTAACAAATTATCTAGTCACTATTCACATCAACCATACATAAACCAGTATGATCTGGCTAAAAGTGCCCTGGTATGGCCGAGAGCGGGGAGGGTTCGCCCTCCCTCTCGAAATACTCTCACACGGCCACGCGTATACAGCCTCTGCCAGGGAAGTCCTACTCACTGCCTTCTCGTGGCGGGGGTGTTGTTTACGAAAATGAGAGGACGAAAAGCGAACGTCCGGCGCTATAACCGGATCCCAATTCTATGGTGCACATGGGCTCCAGTATCCTGAAGGAACAAATGGCGTATGAACCAACTTTTGGTCACCGGCTTCCATGGGACTGCATCTCCTCACGATGCTCCACTGCCTTGTGGACTAGACCTTTAGGTCAAAGGCTCGGGGTGTGGCCCCCTAAGAAAACCACCTGCTTCGGTTTGGGCACCCGGGCAGTATCTCAGCCCACTCACTAAAACTATGATGAACTATCTGCTTATAGAAAATATTCGTTTCTCTCCGACTAACATTGAAATGACTGGTATTATTATTATTTACTACGTCATTTATTCACCCTCTCTTATTCCTACTTTTTGTATCCGCTTCGACTCAGACAGCAGCTCACATATGGTGAAAATTCAGCTTTATCTAAACGTTCTCGAGTCACTGCCTGGTTGAAAATTGTATGTTACTACCGAATATGAGTACTGAAGCAGTTTTTCTGAAACCACGTGCACCATTTGTGGTATGAAAGAAAGCTGCAAAGGGCTGGTTTCTGTTGGTCCTTCACGACTCCCTGGTTGGGGTCCGAAAGACGGTGTAACGCAGTGGCTAGAGACGTTATCAGATATGGCTCAGAATAGAAGCCAGTGGCGATCCTGCTGTAACCTTCTTTTACTTTCTTCATAAAAAGTGGTTGTATCTTCCTTAACTGAAAGATCTCTTCTGATTGTACCTTTCCGTTTTCCCCATCATTGTTCTCTCTCTTTTTTTTTATTTATCTATAATTCCCCACGTTCATTACTTTTTTTTTCTCTTTTCTCCTTCTCTTCAAATTATCATTGTTTTGTGTGGCGCATATATATTTGGTGCCCCCCTGTACCAATATTTATGTGTTCAAATAAATAAAATAAAATATTTACACTAAATTATTTTTACGTTATTTATCAATTCTTTAGACTTATGCGAATGGGTTGAATTTTTTGAGGCTGCTGGTGTTCCAGCCAAACTAAGGGAAACATATGCTGGAATTTTTGTTGAACATCGAATTAACAATTCAGTCCTTGCTGATTTAGATAAGGATCACTTAAAAGATATGGGGATCACAGTTATTGGAGATATTATTTCCATACTGAAGCAATGCAAAAAAATAAGACACGAGGCAAGTTGTTTATTTTCCTCGAAGTTATTTTGTTTAAGTTATCAGTTGCACCAACTCCTGTTGTCACTTCAACTACGTCGAAAGACTGCTCATCTGAAAATAAAAAAGCTGCGTCCAAAAGTATTTAATTATATGTTAACTTAGTTTTAGATTTAGATGTCGGCCTTTTAGTCCCAGTGCGTCGTCGAATGAATCCTGAGGTTGAAGGAAAATATATTGTTAAAATGCCCAAGGGCACGACTTTGAAGACCCAGAAGATTCTTGCATCCATGAAGCAAAAAAGTATGTTTATCTATTTAAATATATATATATATATATATATATATATATATATATATATATATATATAGTGGGATGGTTTAACACTCTACTGGTATCTTACTTGTTTTCTAAGTCAAATCAATTTACAAGATGACAGAATAAAATTAAGTTATATCCTAATGAAAGTGTCACCTTATTACGATACCCAAGAAAGGAGATTTTTGCAAATGTGAGAACTGTAGATGAATCACACTACCAGGAAAAGTTTTCAACTTTGTTGCTGAACGAGATGAAAGATTCAATAGACCTCCAGCTTCGAGATCAATAGGCTGGATTTCGTAAGAATCGGTCATGCATAAACCAAATCGCGACTCTACGAATCATCGTTGAACAACCAATTGAATGGAACTCGTCACTTTATATCAACTTACTTGACGATGAGAAAGCGTTCGACAGTATGAACAGGAGGACTTTATACAATCTTCGTCGATACTATGGTGTACTTGAGAACATCTTCAATATCATCCGGAATTCATACGACGGACTACACTGCAAAGTCGTTCATGCACACCAGCTGACAGATGCTTTCGAAGTGAAGATCGGTGTCAGACACGACTGTCTACCCTCACCCTTTTTCTTTCTTCTGGTGGTTGACTGGATTGTGAAGACCACTACATATCAAGAAAAGCATGGAATACAATGGACAGCTTGCATGCAACTAGACGATTTGGACCTCGCAGATGTCCTGGCTCTTCTGTCCCATACTCAGCGACAAAAGCGGATGAGGACGGCCAGTATAGCAGCAGCCTCCCTTCAGTGAGTTTTAACATACACAAAGGAAAAAGCAAGATCCTCAAATACAACACAGAGAACATCAACAAAATCACACTTGATGTAGAAGCTCTGGAACAGGTGGACGTTTTTACGTACCTGGCCAGCATCATTGATAAGCAAGGAGGATCCGGTGCAGACGTAAAGGCGATGATAGACATAGCAAGGGCCACATTCGTACAATTGGAGGACTGTCAACCAATATCGAAGTCAGAATCTTCAATACGAACTTCAAGACAGTTCTACTGTACGGAAATGAAACTTGTAAAACTACGACCACACTTAGAAAAGTACAGGTATTCGTAAATAATTGTCTGCGTAAGGCACTGAATGTCCGTTGACCAGATACCATCAGCAACATCCTACTGTGGGAGAGAACAAACAAACTCCCAGATGAAAAGGAAATCAAGAAAAGATGCTGGATGTGGATAGGACACACATTCCGGAAATCATCAAACTGCATCACGAGGCAAGCGCCTAACTGGAATCATGCAGGCAACTGGAAAGGATGAAGGTCGAAGAACACACTGTGTCGAGAATTGGAAGTAGACATGAGAAGGACGAATAACAACTGGAAAGGATTGACCAGGATAGGTTTGAATGGAGAGTGCTGGTGAGCGGCCTATGCTCCTCCATGAGACATTACAAGTGTAAGTAAGTAGTGAAAGTTGTTGCTACCTTGACGTGGTGATCGGGCTTGCATGAGGGCGGAACAAGCGTTATCAGAGTGGATCCCCGTAAACAGTCGTCTATGCGCTGTTCGGCTAAACGGCTCCGTAAGAACTCAGAAGGATAGGGACACACGTCGTTACCTTTGCCTACGCTCCCACTGACTGCAGCTCGGATGAAGTGAATGATGAATTTCACAGAAAACCCTCTGAACCTCTCCGGAATGCCAAACGTTCAGACATAGTACTCGTAGCAGGTGACTTTTATGCGCAGGTATGTAGCTTAAACGAAACAGAAAAACATTTAGATGGGTAGTTTAGTGTGCCGGCACAGCGAACAGATAATAGTGATCGTCTGCTTCAACTGTGCTCAGACAACCGTTTATTTTTAGCAAACACAAATTTTAAGCATAAGAAGGGACATCGTCTAATATGGCGACCCCTGCACCAAATCAACGATGGACTCGAATAGACCATGTTGCCATCAGTCATCGTTGAAGAGGGTCGATAGAAGATTCCACTCGTTCTGGAATACCTGTTTGGACTCCGATCATGCTCTTATACGAGTACGCATCTGCTTGCGCCTCACTGGACGCAAAAAAACCACACAAAAAGACTCATTAGAACTAAACTGAGTAACGAGAAAACCAAACGTAGGTTCCAGGAACAACTGAGGTCACACTTAGGTAGTTTTGAAAACGAGGCTGACCCAGATGTTTGGAAAGATATACAGGCAGCTGTGGAAACAGCAGTGACATATTAGTAATTTAAACCACAGTTTTACAAAGAACCAATGGATTTCTTCAAGGTCTATTGCACTGATGGATTCTCGCAAATTCATCCCATCAGGTTCTGAACACAATGAAGAGCGTAAAGAAATCAGATCTAGGTTAAGCAAAAGTCTAAGGAACGACCGTGAGCAGTGAGCATCGAAAGCAAAAGAGATGGAAAAGGCGACGGTTATAGGTAACACCAGACAGCTCTTCAGACTCAAAAGAAACTGGAATTAATAAGTCAAGTGTAAGTCAGACTATTCCGGAAAAAAACGGCACTCTCATCTGCTCCCAGTCCAGACGTTTAGAACGATGGGCGGAACATTTTAGAAAACAGTTCAGCTGGCCTTCAGCTACTCTACAACTACCCTCCATTCCTAGACAGTGTGAATGGAACATTGAAGTAGGTCCCCCAACTCTAGCTGAAGTTCAAAAGGCTATAGTTACTCTGAAACGAGGAAGGGCAGCTGGTCCGGATGGATTGGCTCCAGAGGTCTTTAAGTATGGTGGTCTAGTTTTAGCGATTAGGTTGACTAATATTTTAGCTAAAATCTGGGAGTTAGACATTATCCCATCTAACTGGTCACAATCACTTATCGTCCCAATATATAAGAAAGGGTCAAAATCATCCTGTGACAACCACAGAGGAATTAGTTTGACTAATATAGTATCTAAAATACTAGCCTCGATAATTTTCGGACGCCTAACTAATACTCGTGAACTACAAACACGAGGGAACCAAGCTGGCTTCAGACCTGGTCGTGGATGCATAGACCACATATTCACCATTCGTCAGGTTCTGGAACACAGGCATACTTATCGGCGTCCGACAATAGTGGTCTTCCTTGACTTAAAACCAGCATGTGACTCTGTTGACCAAGAGGTTCTGTGACAGTGTCTGTCATTGAAAGGCGTACCTCAGAAGTACATAAACCTTGTGATGGCTCTTTACTCAAACACTACTAGTCGAGTGAGAGCTCATGGCGAACTGTCATCTGCTTTTGCAACCTCAAGTGGTGTCCGTCAAGACTGTCCACTTTCTCCATTTTTGTTCAACTTCATCATAGATCTACTGATGGAAATAACGCTCTCGTCGACTGAATTCTCGGGTATTGATCTCCTATCAGGAGGTCCACTTATGGACTTAGAATACGCAGATGACATAGTCCTGTTTGATGAAGACGCCGATAAAATGCAGAGTCTTCTGGTAGCACTGAGCAACAATGCCAGGATGTTCGGGATGCGCTTCTCCCCTCCAAATGTAAGTTGATGCTTCTGGATTGGCCTGCATCAACACCTGAACCAAGGATAGGGAGTGAAGTAGTCGAACGCATTGACAACTTCACTTATCTTGGAAGTCTGATCAGCCCTAATGGGTTGGTGTCTGACGAAATCTCAGCACGGATTCGAAAAGCTGGTTTGACCTTTGCCAACTTACGTCACCTATGGCGAAGGCGAGATATTCGTTTATCAATTAAGAGACGAGTATACTGCGCAGCAGTTCGTTCTGTTTTACCTTACGGCTGCGAAACGTGGCCATTAAGAGTAGAAGATACTCGTAAGCTACTAATATTTGACCACAGATGTCTTAGAAATATTGCTGGGATCACCGGGTAAATAATAGTGAGGTTAGACGCGGGGTATTAGGGAATGATGGTAAATCAGTTGATGTTGTTGTGATTCTCCATCGACTGAGATGGCTGGGTCACGTGTTGTGTATGCCTGAACACCGATTACCACGACGCGCGATGCTAACCGGTGTTACGGATAATTGGAAGAAAGCTAGGGGCGGCCAAACCAAAACGTGGCATCAGTGTTTGAAGTCACTAACTTCTGGTCTGAGCCATGTTGGTAGATGCAGACTACCAGATTGGGATCCGCGTGACTATCGAAACCAATGGTTAGAGACTCTGTGTGACATGGCTCGGAATCGATCACAATGGCTTAGGTGTATACACTCTATCTTCCTTTAAACTAAGAGATTAAAATCACTTCATATTTTTTCTTTCTACGAACTAATTCTTTCTTCTTGTGCTATCTCCTTATATGTAATCTTTCTTCTATATATTACCACCACTAAATTAACTACTTCTATGAATCCTGTGTTCATCTTGTTGTGCTAATGCGGTATGGCAACTTGGACCGATGCATATATGTGCCTGGTCCTGCGTTGCAGCTGACTGACTGAAAGTGTACTCATACTATTTAAGTTACCATGTTAGAAGTGTAGATATTCATTGAACATAGTTTTTGTAGTTCACGGTACTTATCAGTTTGTTGAAATTATCAGGAAATTTCTATTATTTATTTATTTATTTATTTGAACACATAAATATTGGTACAGGGGGGCACCAAATATATATGCGCCACACAAAACAATGATAATTTGAAGAGAAGGAGAAAAGAGAAAAAAAAAGTAATGAACGTGGGGAATTATAGATAAATAAAAAAAAAGAGAGAGAGAGAACAATGATGGGGAAAACGGAAAGGTACAATCAGAAGAGATCTTTCAGTTAAGGAAGATACAACCACTTTTTATGAAGAAAGTAAAAGAAGGTTACAGCAGGATCGCCACTGGCTTCTATTCTGAGCCATATCTGATAACGTCTCTAGCCACTGCGTTACACCGTCTTTCGGACCCCAACCAGGGAGTCGTGAAGGACCAACAGAAACCAGCCCTTTGCAGCTTTCTTTCATACCACAAATGGTGCACGTGGTTTCAGAAAAACTGCTTCAGTACTCATATTCGGTAGTAACATACAATTTTCAACCAGGCAGTGACTCGAGAACGTTTAGATAAAGCTGAATTTTCACCATATGTGAGCTGCTGTCTGAGTCGAAGCGGATACAAAAAGTAGGAATAAGAGAGGGTGAATAAATGACGTAGTAAATAATAATAATACCAGTCATTTCAATGTTAGTCGGAGAGAAACGAATATTTTCTATAAGCAGATAGTTCATCATAGTTTTAGTGAGTGGGCTGAGATACTGCCCGGGTGCCCAAACCGAAGCAGGTGGTTTTCTTAGGGGGCCACACCCCGAGCCTTTGACCTAAAGGTCTAGTCCACAAGGCAGTGGAGCATCGTGAGGAGATGCAGTCCCATGGAAGCCGGTGACCAAAAGTTGGTTCATACGCCATTTGTTCCTTCAGGATACTGGAGCCCATGTGCACCATAGAATTGGGATCCGGTTATAGCGCCGGACGTTCGCTTTTCGTCCTCTCATTTTCGTAAACAACACCCCCGCCACGAGAAGGCAGTGAGTAGGACTTCCCTGGCAGAGGCTGTATACGCGTGGCCGTGTGAGAGTATTTCGAGAGGGAGGGCGAACCCTCCCCGCTCTCGGCCATACCAGGGCATTTGGGGGCGGAAATTTCTATTAGACACAGAAGAGTTTTGTATTCTTATTACAGATGGATTTCTTTAACATTTTTGTATTAGGGAAATGAATTAATAGTTAAGGAACCTCACCGAGTCACTGGTTTGATGGTTCGTATGCCACTTCGTTTACTTTGGTTTGTACATCGGGATGCATAAACCTGTACTTGAGAATTCGTCAGTTCTGCGTATAGATAGATTATTTTACTTGTATGGCTAGTATTGTATAGTTCGACTTGTACGTTCTTAAATGGATATTTATGGTAACGACTTTATATCGAGTAATATCTGTATATATTATGTAGTATTCTATTGTTTTTATTTGAATTTCTTACATTATTTTAGACAGTGCAAAGTCTAGTCAACCTGAAGTTGCCAAAGCCTCCAAAACTAATGAACCTCCCGTATCGTCTACCTTCGAAGACAGCGATGTTGATGATTGTGATAATTATCGTGTTATCATCTCTAAGTAATTAACTCTAATTCACTTTTCTGTCGCTTATATATTTTACGTTGAAAATCATTTAACTGTAAAGTTGTAATCGGGATTTAAAAAAAACTCTAAACAAAAATATGTTATCATTATCAGGATTTTATTGGGGCACCAACGCTGTTAGTGTGCGTTACGTTGTATAGTGTGTTATTTTTAGAAATTTCATACACATAGTCTCCTTTATTATCTTAAAGAGAGCAAGAAAGAAGATTGGTGCAGAATAATATGAACTCAGTTTATTTTCGTTAGGTTCTCATCAGCTGCTTACAACCTAAAATATTTGAAATTCAACGTTATTACAGATATTGACATAATTATACATAAGAGGGTGATGAAGGATGAATATATGTATCATGATGTAGCAAAGATTCCGTTAGAGTTAATGAGGTCATAAAATTTTTGTTTCGAATAAATAAAGTTTGGGAGGGATGGTTCCAGAACATTGAGTTACTGATTAGAAGTCATGGAGTTAACAAACATTAGATGATTATGTAACGAGGCAACTGAAACAGATTAATGGTAATAAAGAAATATCTGGATTGAAATCAGTCAGCTATGAATTGAAGAAAAACGACAATTATGTAATCAAATTTAAAGAAGAGTTGAAATTGATTGTTTCGATGAAGAATACCACTTTACCTAATATTTTTAACGTACCTTTGTGATTCCATGTCACTCTCATGACATTCCTCTTTCCACCTCCTGTACTAGGGTATTTGAGTGCCTTATACTTATTATCTTCATGCAACAAGTATCACTCAAGCAAATTATAAGGACTTCTACTTAACTAATGAGTTGCAATGTTTAAGCAGTTCACCCATTAATTCACCAAGGTTGATGCAACTTTGTCTTAGTAAGTAGATCAATCCTACTTTGTCAAATGCGCTAAACGATACATAAAACCATTTCAATTGGAGTATTGATTTTCTGTTCCATTCAGTATTTCGTACGTGGGGTTCATGATTTATCTTAGCTTTTCAATTGTCAATTTTGTTTTTCTGTTATTTATATCTGTAACATTGTTCTTAATCAATTGTTTTTCGTTTAATTTCACTTTAAATATTAGATCAAATACACATGGTTCCACATCTAGTGATTCAGTATTCAGTCGTTTAGGTAATACTGTAAATAGAGAGGATTCACCTACAAGTGTGCTTATAAAAAAAACGACAGATTCATCTGCTGCAATGCAACGCTTTATTCGTTGGAATTTAAATGACAACAGTCTTGGATCACCTTTTCGTCCTTCACCATCTGTTGCAGAAACTATTATGAGCTCGTCAGAGGATTCTTTGAATTTTAAAGTTGTTAAACAAGTTAGCGGTCTTACAAAAAGCCTTGATCAGTCTGTTAAATTAAGAACACCCCTTAAACGACATGTAAGTATTCATTTTCTGTGTCTCTCACCAGTGTGTAAAAATTCATAGCTCTCTCTCAGTAACAGAAGACGGTAATTGTTGATTGATGGTTCTGTCACTGTAATAAGTAATTTTGTTTTAATCATCAATTAACTACTGGTCTCAAGTCAGTACATTTAGTCAAAAAACCTCTATTTTAACCTCTTGAGTTTTTGACATGCTTCAAGTGAAGGGTAATGATAATACCTGTTTGTCAAACTAGAATTAATAAGGTGGAGTTTCAGTGTTCGGCTTTGTGTCTGAATGACATGCTAATCAACTACTAAATTATTATTATATTTATTTATTTGAACACATAAATATTGGTACAGGGGGGCACCAAATATATATGCGCCACACAAAACAATGATAATTTGAAGAGAAGGAGAAAAGAGAAAAAAAAAGTAATGAACGTGGGGAATTATAAAAAAAAGGGAGAGAGAGAACAATGGTGGGGGAAACGGAAAGGTACAATCAGAAGAGATCTTTCAGTTAAAGAAGATACAACCACTTTTTATGGAGAAAGTAAGAGGTTACAGCACGATCGCCACTGGCTTCTATTCTTAGCCATATCTGATAACGTCTCTAGCCACTGCGTTACACCGTCTTTCGGACCCCAACCAGGGAGTCGTGAAGGACCAACAGAAACCAGCCCTTTGCAGCTTTCTTTCATACCACGACACCATGTCATATACTGACCACCTCTCCGCTTTTTCCAACCAGTCCCAGAGTCGGCGAATAATGCACGGTGAGGAATTCTCTGGGACGACATTCGTAGAACATGTCCAAGCCACCGAAGTCGGTGTTTCAAGATGGTGACACCAATTTCATTATCGTCTCTGTGACCGAACACACGATGTCGAACCTCTGCATTACTGACATGGTGTTGCCACTGGATGCCAGCAATCCTTCGGAGACAACGATGATCGAACACAGAGAGTCGTCTAACATCCTCAACTCGGAGAGGCCAGGTTTCACAAGCATAGAGCAAAACTGCTCTCACCGTCGCGTTGTAGATCCGACCTTTTACAGCCAGACTAACATCACGAAGGTGCCAAAGGTGGCCCAGATTGGCATAAGCCGCTCTGGCTTTCACTATACGAGCATTGATCTCATCACTCACTCACACCACCACCAGCACTTATGCAGCTACCTAGATACACGAACTTCTCGACTTCTTCTATCTGCTCACCATCCAGAGTGAGTACAGGATTAGAATCCTGCCAGTCTTGTAGAAGTACTTTGCACTTCTAGGGTGCAAAGCACATACCATACCTACGGACACTGATTGCCAACTGATTAAGTGCGGATTGCATAGCTTGGGCATTCTCGCACAGTAAGACAATATCATCCGCATACTCAAGATCGAGAAGTCTTTCTCCAGGCAACAGATCCACACCACCATTACTTACATCCGTCAGAGCTGTTTCCAGAATGTCATCGATGGCAAAGTTGAAGAGGAATGGTGAGATTGGGCAACCCTGCCTAACCCCACTGCCTGAATGGAATAATGGAGAAAGGTGGTTGTATGCCCTCACTCTGCCTGAGGTGTTTGTGTATAGGGCTTTTAGGATGTTAATAAACTTCTCAGGCACACCCTTCTTCAATAGACAATCCCAGAGAACAGTTCTGTCCAACGAATCGAAGGCAACACTGATATCAAGAAACACTACGATTGTTGGCCTTTGATAAGTATGGCGATGTTCTAACACTTGGCGGAGGGTGAAGATATGATCAATACATCCTCGACCAGAACGAAACCCAGCCTGCTCCTCGCGAGTCAATCCTTCTCGGGTCCTGAACAACCTACGAAGTATGACGGAAGCCAATAGCTTGGACGCAATCGGAAGTAGACTTATCCCCCGATAGTTGTTACAGGAACAACGTGAACCCTTTTTAAAGATAGGGACAACTATCAACTCATTCCATGACGTTGGTACACTCTCTAGTTCCCAGACCTTTGTAAACAACGTCGTCAGTCCCTTAGTCAGAAAGTCACCACCATCTTTAAAAAGAGCCGGAGGTAAGTCGTCTGGGCCCGGTGATTTGTAACGTTTCAAGAGTTGGAGTTCCTTGCGGACTTCCGCCTCATTTGGTGGATCAGTCGTCACCGGCCATGGAGGGCAGGACAGTCTGACCGATGTTGCCGGAGCAGCAGGCCAGTTGAACTGCCCTTCGAAGAATTCTGCCCATCGTCCAAGACGTCGATGGATGTTAGTGATTGACGTTCCGTCATCCTCGCAGATTGTTTCGCTCACACCAGACTTCTTGCTGCCAGTGGCTCGGATGAGTTGGAAGAGCTTCCGGTAATTACCAGATGCAGCTGCTGCTTCCAACTCACTGGCACGCTCCGACCACCAGGCTTCTCGGTCCTTACACAAGCTTTGCCCGATTTCATTACGTAACATCCTTCGTCTGTGGTCAAACTCACGGTCACCCGGAGTAGACCGACGGGCTTCAATCAGTTGTAAGGAACCAGAAGAAACCCAGTGCTTGTAAGCGGGACGTTTCGCAAACCCACAACAGACTGTACACGCCATTTTCATGGCGTCATGCAATTGCAACCTATGCTCATCTATACTTTTCGGTGGAATGGTAGCTAGCCTAGAAGCTAGCTCGGTTCGGTACTTACTAGCAACAGAAGTTGCAGCCAGCTTGCTAACATCAATCCTGTGGTGGCGGTCACTTCGTTGTCCACTGAAAAGTAAGGTAAGATTGGCGCAGACCAGAGCATGATCAGATTCCAGATAGGTACTCCAAAAGGAGCGGCAGTCTTGTACACAACCGCGCCAGCGGTAGCTGATCGCGATGTGATCAATCTGAGTCCAGGCTGAGATGCAGAAGGAGGACGCCAGGTGGCACATCGGCGATGACTGTGCCGAAAGTTAGTGCTAGCCAGAAACAGGTTGTGGTCTGTGCATAGTTGCAGTAGACGTTCCCCGTTATCCGTCCTGTGACCAACGAGTCCCCATCGGCCACCTAAACGACTCTCTGATGTGCCTAGACGCCCGATCTGAGCACTCAAGTCTCCAGCTAGTACTACAATATCCGTCGAACGCACTTTCTGGAGAAGAACAGATAACTGGTGGTAAAATTCATCCTTGATTGCATCCGGGCTGCAATCTGTCGGGGCATAGGTGGAAATGACGAAAAGATATCGTTTCTCACTTTGATGGAACTTTCTAATCTAACAGCACATAACCGACTGTTAATGGGGATCCAGTCGACTAGTGCTGCCTCAGCTCTTGCGCTTAGTGCGACACCAACGCCAGCAAGACTAGACGAAGATGCCACAGGGTCCCCGGATAAACGCACATAAAACAAGCTTTTTGAAGCGACAGATGGAGAGCGAACTTGTAGTACTTCACCAGAGTCTTGAATACGGGTCTCGGATAGACAACAAACGTCGATATTAAGACTTTTCAAAGACATAGCCAGCCCTATCTGTTGTCCGACCTGCATAAGTGTGCGAACGTTGAAGGTAGCCAGTTTGAATGGTGCACGCGGTTTCAGAAAAACTGCTTCAGTACTCATATTCGGTAGTAACATACAATTTTCAACCAGGCAGTGACTCGAGAACGTTTAGATAAAGCTGAATTTTCACCATAGGTGAGCTGCTGTCTGAGTCGAAGCGGATACAAAAAGTAGGAATAAGAGAGGGTGAATAAATGACGTAGTAAATAATAATAATACCAGTCATTTCAATGTTAGTCGGAGAGAAACGAATATTTTCTATAAGCAGATAGTTCATCATAGTTTTAGTGAGTGGGCTGAGATACTGCCCGGGTGTCCAAACCGAAGCAGGTGGTTTTCTTAGGGGGCCACACCCCGAGCCTTTGACCCAAAGGTCTAGTCCACAAGGCAGTGGAGCATCGTGAGGAGATGCAGTCCCATGGAAGCCGGTGACCAAAAGTTGGTTCATACGCCATTTGTTCCTTCAGGATACTGGAGCCCATGTGCACCATAGAATTGGGATCCGGTTATAGCGCCGGACGTTCGCTTTTCGTCCTCTCATTTTCGTAAACAACACCCCCGCCACGAGAAGGCAGTGAGTAGGACTTCCCTGGCAGAGGCTGTATACGCGTGGCCGTGTGAGAGTATTTCGAGAGAAGCTTATATTCATCACCAGTTTGTACTAGGCTTGTGTAACATTATGTCAGAAAACCATTGCAAATTACTTGAAGGTATTAGATAATATATTTTTAGATGCAGTTGTCAACTCACAGTCATGAAAGATTTCTGTTAGGAATACTTCAATCTCTTCATCCGAGGCAATATTAGCTCATTCGAAGGCATATAAAGGCAGTTAGAAATCATACTCTAGTCATTGCATTTTATTTTTAACTTAAACTTCGTTTGTTTACATCTCATTTTTTTTGTTATTTATTTAATTATCATTGTGTACACAGGCTTCTGATACGGTATTTAGTCGTTTAAGTACCCCATCAACTACTATACAACCAAATGATCAACTTTCTTACCAAGGAATTTTGAAGAAGTCACGAACGCAACTTCCTAAATTTAACGATGAATCGATGTCTCCATGTTCTCTAAATAGCTTTCTTTCTCCATACACCGAAGGTGTACTTAGCCAGAGTCGTATGCAAAAAGTTTCTGTAAAAAACCGCTTAGGTAATTGATTTATTCATTTAAGAAATTTGTTTCGCTTAATTCTTATGCCCTACTTTAATGTGTACAAAATATGAGTTTATTAAATACAAATTGACATTTTCCCCTGTTCTATCGATCGTCTATTACTATAATCTGTTTTTTTTTCATGATAGGTGGAGCAGTTTTTTATTTTATGGCAATGAAACGTTTAATAACTTCACCTAAATTTTTGGTGTAGTTCTATGATATTGCATTGGTCCACCTACTAGATCTGTTGAATTTATTTGATTGCTCAGATCGAAGTCAATAGATTTTGTACCCTATTGATGAAAAATAAGATCCATAGACGTCTGTGCTACGGTTTTATCTCTCAATCTCAGAATTAACGTGAATTGCTCGGTCCCATCCTTGTAAACCTAAATCCACTTCATTTAATTTAAATCGTACAGAAGTCCGTCATTTGTAGTCCAAGTTAAACTACTACATTGTTAATATATTATGACGAACTGCTTTAAAATTTATGCATAAACCTATTTACAGTCACTTTTGATTCCACACTCTATCTTTCAATAGCACAAGTTCCCACTGACCTACTTACTGCCATTACAGTTCATACTATGCTTCTTAAATACCGATTCCTCATAAATCTTTGCAGTACTCCTCATTTGTCGTTTCGCAGTTCGGTACGAGCTAGTGGACAAACATTCTCCTTTTAGAGACAAACGTTCTACAATTATGGGTACGACGATTTATATCAGACTCTACAAAGTTAACGAAAACAACGAAGGTGGTTGAGTTGAAACAGACTCCAATGAAGTGTATGGTTCTTTCTACATATATTGGGAATTCGGATCAATTTGGGTTTTGTATTTATGATGTACTGCTCCCTCCAGGAAATATTTTGGACTTTCATATTATTGCCGCTGATCATTTTGATAGACTGTTTTCATAATTCACTACATGAATATTATTGAATGATTAAAGATTATATCGCTTGTTAGGTTTTAAACAAGTTGATTGTTATCTTTCGACTATATAAGCATTACATGTAACTAAATTCCTTTGACCATAAAGTATGTTGTATGTAGTACATTGGTATTCTGGGTGAATATAATTTGGACTTAATTCAATCTAGGTTTAAAAGATTTGCTTTAAAGATTTTATTGAGATATGTTTTTAGAATTTGAGTCATAAAGAGCTGATTACTTTATTGGTTTTATCTTGTGAATCCCTATCTTTTTAGCGAGTCGTTGGATGTTAACGGCAATTATTAGGGGTTCATAGTGATATTGATGTTCGAATGCTTAGTGCACATCGGTGGTGCATCAATTTGGCAGTTGGTTTCTCGCTCATGGGTTATTTGTTTCACTGAGGTTTCGATTACACTTCTAAATAATTGTTTCCACATTCGTTACAAAACAGGTTTTATCATCGTAGAAGTAAATAAGAAAAAAATTACATTATTGCAAAAAAGGGTTTCTTCCAAAACTTAAAGAAAGGAAAATTAATTGTTTATCAAATTCATTGTTAAAGTCCTCATATCAATAAACTGCCTTCCTTTATGAAATGGTGGTGAAGATTTGTAGCTTAGGTGGATGATTTTAACTTCTACCTGAAGTTTGTGCCGATGATGTCGTTCAAAATAACGATGAAAGCTCCACGACCAAACCATTCATCTCAGAAAACAAAACTCCATAAAAATACCCTCCTTTATATTTTATAGGATTGTCAATGTGACTACTTATAAGTAGTCAGGTTTAGTTTCCATTACTTCGACTTGAAATGTACAAAGCTGTATGCCATTTTCTTATAGCTTTTGGGAAATTCCCTTATGAAAGTCGATATGTAAAATACATAATGCTTTGTTTGGCAGTAGAAATATTTCTATGCTCTACAAATATGCGCATTATTTTGATATTTGGGTATGTTAATCTAGGAATGGTTGTTTCCATTCTCTGTTTTACATGAAGGTCCAGATACCATAAAATTAACTTATCAAATCATTCAAATGTCAGTCGTTTTGGTAAAAAGAATATCACACAACTGTTTTATTATTTTTAGTATATGTATATATACAGTTTGATCAGTACATAGTCTATTTTTTTAAAGTTATACAACAAAAATTTTTCCCATCAATATTTTACTTAAATTTTCTTTATGTTTTAGGCAACAGACAAGGAAAGTCTAATGTTCCAGTTCATTCTAGACTTGGTCGAGCATCTAATCCAGTATGAATAATCTGATTTTTATGACTTTTACTGGACTTAGTGTATATATACATAAATATATTCTGCATACCATAAAATATAATTTTAGGTATCCATTTAATTCTTTTTTATTCACGTAAAAGTTAATAAATTTTCTTTTAAATACTTCAGCGAGCAAGTCGGTGTATACATCATATCAAGTTATTTCGTAAATAAACTATTTTACAAGTTCTCATCTAACTTAGCTATTGAATTTCTTTAACTTGTTTTCTAAAATATGTGTGCGAATATATGTGCATCATATGTTGCATAGTTGAATCGTCTATGAGTGTATGTCTCATCTTTATCGGGATAATTTTTATTAACTATTACTAGTTGGTGTTCTAGGTTGCGTTCATTTACTATCTGTCCTCGAGATTCGATTTTATTTTATAAACACGTAGCTTAATTTCACTCAGGCAAATTTGCGTTGAGTATCTTAAAAAACTCCGTTTTCTAATTTTAGCAGTTATTTGAAGGGTTAAGGGATCTCTTTGGTAATACCGTTAACATTGACTTCAGAGAACTGTAAAAATCAATATAGATGAATGGAGCGATAACATTTGAACTCGGCAGAATTTACATATATTTGTGATATTTAAGTGATTGATACTTTCAGGTGTTCTCTATAAAGTGATAAAAAACTACTGTAATAGCTGTTTGTGGATCCATCTTAACGATTATGTTCGATTATCTCATTAATCTAGTTTATTGGCTATAAACATTGATGGCTAAGCTACACAATATACTACTAACCTCTTGTTAGAATGATTATTTTCAATTACTCATCATGTAGTGAACGTAGTCTCAGGTGAGGAGACCAGTTTACTGTTTGATGCACAATCACATAGTCGTTTAGCGAAATGTAAAAACCGTACATCGAATACATTATTTGAACATCTTTAAATTTTATCTTACAATCTTTATTGTTCCTTCATTCGTGTTGTTATCTTGATTGCTTCCAGTTTCCTTTTCATTTCAATTCTCACGACTTTCTGTTGCCAAGCATTCCATTTCTGATTGGTATTACATACTACTTATGTCGACAATCATGAATAGCACACACCACAATAATAACTATCTTAGGTGTCAGTTTCACATTAAACTTAATTCTTGAGTTTTTAAAAGCTTATTAACCATATGAAACATTTTGATTTGTATGTTATTATGTGAAAAAAGAAACTGTCTAGACATCAGATATCCTCAAAAATAACTTATTGACTATTAATAGGACAAATTAGAAAACTTGGAGCAATCATGTGGATATTTATTAAATGTAGTCTCCAGGATAATTAGTTCTTACCGTTTTTAAAATAAAAATGACAGCAGATCATTACTGATCACTTCATGATTAGTCACTTTTGAGATATTATTGCTATCTAGAGCTGAAGGTCTCATATGAAACTGGAGGTTCGCTAATGATATTGTGTATGATTCGGCATTACTTTGGCAAGTTTTGCTGACTGTTCATACGAAAAATTGCTGATTGGCCGACTTAATTCATACTGTTGGTTAATTTTCAGTGTTCTCAAGGGACATTGTAAGGGACATCATCATTCCTAACATAAATGAGCTTGATTGTTTTGTAAGGTCAACTTTAGCCTGTTCATGCTGTGCGTAATTGATTTACGCGATCAATGATCGTAATAGTACATATGGTGTATATGAACGATGCGAATGGTCCACCAGGGTTCTGGGTACATGTGTGGTTGCTCCACAGGATTGAGCTGTGCTATTGAGATTGTAGCATTAAAGCCTATGTGGTGTTTGGATCTCCTGTGAAGTGGGACTGAGCTGTACTGTTCGGGTTAAGCCTGGACGGTTTCTAACTCTCCTGAGAAGCGGGATTAAGCTGTACTGTTTCGGTTATCACGTGAAAGTCTGGGTGATGTCCGGTTCTCCTAAAAACCAATATAAAGTTACTCTAGCCCATAAGGGTATATTATATAACTGTGAACTTTAGTATCAGTGCAATAGTTAATAACAGTTATTCGCACGCCTCTTATTTTATTGATTATTAGTTATATTAACGCTGAAACTAGTTTTCAGGTACACAGTTACAATCTATGTATTGTTAAATACACTCGTCAAAAAAGATGTGCTTCACCTTGTATAAACTACTCACTTAAATTGATAAGAAACATCTTTTTTTAAACTAAAGAATGATTTATAGTACGAAAAAAATTTCAAATAATCTTACTTTATAGAATATAATTTATTCTCTTTTATTTCCCATCAGAACTAACCTTAATAATTTGTATGCAGAAGATTGATTAAAAGCCATACAACTGAGTTTAAAGTTTTATAAGTGTTCATAGTTTACTCTTGTACGTTTTATTACATGCTTTCATTTTACTCACTAGCTAAGTGGATAACGCGAGGGTGTTTGAAGCGTACCGTACTGGGTTTGAGTCACAGAGTGAACATCAACTCTAAGATGCAGGTACACATGCAGCTGACGAGTTCCTAATAGGATGAAACTCGTCCTAAATTCCACTGCTAGCCACTATCCATCTTTAATTATAATGCTTGTGAATTAAGGCAATACGCACAGTATGCACATATACCTATAACAGACTGATCAATTTCAGTCCTAAACATCAATGGGAAGATTCAAGTAAACAATACCAAGTGAATTTTACAAAGTTATTTTCATTACAGATTGTAAGTAACATTTATGAATAAAATGTTTTTTTTTATCTAAGCTTTAAAAAGAGAAATGTACACACAATGGAATAGAGAGTTTATATGAGGTTATTTTAGATGAACATTTGGAAATATTGTGTTTTGAATATAGAGTTATACTGGATGTTTGTTTTTTAGATAACTTGAAATTTTGTTTCTAATTTGTTTTTTTATTTGTATATATGTATATTTATTTGATCAGTTGTATGTTCAATTTTTTAGTGATACAGAAAGTGTACATCTTTACTCTTAAATAACCGTAATAAAAAATATTAAATACCATCAATAATGCATAACAGTAATAATAGTCTATGTTTAATAATATTATATAACTTATTTATTCAGTAATGTATAGTATTTCAGCTTTTGTATGATCATTTCGTTTAGTACGCTTTTTAAAGCGTAGTAAACGATTTGACAAAGCTGTTTTAAATGATCCAGTCAATATACTATACACAACAGGATTTACACATGATGCAGCAAATGATAATGTTTGTGATAATAGTTTTGCTATTTTCATTGCTGGTACAAATGGAAAACTAGCTTCATCAAAAAAGAACCATGAATTAATTATATGTGTTGGTAGCCAACATACACCCCATAATGTAGTGACTAATACAACCAGTTTAGTTGCTTTAGAACGTAAGCGCTTTTTCTTTAATTCTCGTGTAGCACGTATCAATTCATTTGGATTTTGTTGTATATTTTCATGGAAATCCCACTTTTGTATACAATTTTTTGTACTTGAACGATGCCCAGTTCCAATATTACTAGTTGTACTAGTATTATAATCTGATGTCGTAGTATCATCAGATAATTGTTGCTCAAGGCGTTGTTGTTGGCAATGAGGATGATTGTCATAATTGTGGCATATATTTTCATGTGTATCATCAGACCTATGTGATCCACATTGTTGTTGTATACTAAATAATCTTCGTTTCTTTGTTGATTTTTGACTTGAATTAAATGATTCATTAGTGTTACTGTTATTATTTGTAACACTGTTATTGTTGTTTCTTGTATAAATCGAATTTTCATGCAAAGAAGTACGTTTCAATTGACCTGTTTCTCGTTCTGCCACATTCTGTAGATGAGAAGGAAGAAATGGATGCTTTAATACAGTTTTTAGTGGTATACAAAATAAAATATTGATTTAATTAAAACTTCTAGATAATTAAATTCATGGTATCAATAATGTTAAGTGATTTCTGAAGTTTGCTTCTTAGATAAGATGATAATTTTGAACGGACAGTTTCAAAATAGTTTCGATTCAACGCATATGGGGTGAGACTATAATTTATTGACAAGCCGATCCGAAGCGTTAGTGGGACTTCAAGGTCACGACACCAATTTCAGTACCTGATGCTCACGTAGGATCGGTTTACAGCGGATTTTAGAGAAGACGTGATAATTGAGCGGCTACAACAATTGGGATTACTAAGAAGTTCCTTTATTTGTGACTGGTAATCAAATAGACAAAACAGTGGTCATAAAGCAAACATTTAACAGGGGACGTAGTATTAAAGAAGACTGGGTAAGTGGCACTTCCATAAATATACCTCACAGGTCCTTGGAATTTAAGACAGGTCAACCCAGAAGGGACATTTCCAAAGGGTCAGAAACCGACAGGCCACGACAATAATATAAATTTTACGGGATTATGTGCAGCCATGAACCACATTATATCCAAAAGACTGGAGAGCGTACAGATATCTGCATATACTTGGTTATGTGGTTCATGTCGTTGTCCATAAGCGCCATTTTGTGTACCCTACATTGGGAGTGCACACTAACAATATTGAAGCTATGTGATCGAGGCTGAAGGAGTTTATACGACCTTATCATGGCTCGAGAGGCCGACTATTATGGAGTCATATGGATGAGTTCCTCTACCGTGTGTATTAAGATTTCAGAACCTCCGAACCTTTTTCTAACCGTGACAAGTTTTTGAACCATGTAAAAGAAATGTATCTACTTTAATTCCTTGGTTTTGTATAATATATTTTTAATTAATACTAGCTGTTTTGTGATTGGTTGATGTTTCTCAAGGTCACTTAAGATTCTTTCAAAGGTCGTCCATATGATCTCGCCAACTATCGTCCAGTCATTTTTAGATGATGACTAAATTCTTACTGATCATTATGCAAGACCATCTGTAATCATTAGATTTTTATCAGAATGATATAGATAACTTTGGTTCATATTCACACAATAAACTAAATTTTACATCTGAACACGAAAAAACAGTTAAATAAAAGTGAATTATTTTCAGCGTTACTTGTTTTCGATTATTCCTCTGAAAAAGTTTAAACAAGTTTGCGAAAATTTTATTTCGGTCGTTTAAGTTCCTAAAAATACAGTTTCATATCAGAGGAATCATATTGAAAATATCGTAGTTTATATTTGAGAAACGAAATGGTTAAATTATTGTTTCCAATAATTAGAATAAACTACACCCAACTTTTATAGATTCTCGATCACTAAATAGTCTTAGCTGGACCAACATTGGGAATCTGAGGGGTTGTTTCTTCCTCGTATCGGACTCCTCAGCAGTGCGAAACCACGATCTCGCACGTTGTGTTTGAATCTAGTATTTCAGGTCTTGCGCGTGAGATCCTAACATTTAGAGCACTGAGCCGGCACCCAACTAAAATCTCCACAAATCCCCTGCACTAATATCAGTCATGCGCTCATTAGTCTTTAGCTCTAAGATGTAACTCCTTGGATTCTAACGAAAAGCCATGATCAGTAAATTTCAACCATATATGGTGTGAGACAGCCATTCACTGCAGACAGGAGACTGGAATTCTTGGGCTCGAGTTCCGAGCGTGGGATCGTGGACGCCCACTAATTAGGACCCTCATTCATTCGTTGAACTTCGTGTTTTTAATGAATTGACTAATTAATGTTCATTTAATTCAATGGTGTAGTGAACAAGAACATGAGTGGGGACAAACGGATGTATGACACATAATTACAGAGCATCTCAATAAAATCTGAGAACCATATAATAAATCGTTAATTTGCAAAGTATCAGTCCATCATATCAAACTTGGCTGTTCCTGTTGCAAACATCAATCCATTGTCTCAGATTTCATTGTTCATACCAATTGCGTTTCGTTCCCGTTCTTTCTTCATTGACCTACTGAGATTCATTCTATACCTGACAACCGTCATATACTACTTGTGTGGATATAAGTAACTCACACCACACTTCCAGGTCCTCGATAGTGTTCTAGCTCAGATCGACTCTTGACTTTAACTGTTTAAACGTATATTTTATGAACAGATGCACCGTGTGTTGATACGTCTTATATTTCTTACTCAGTGAAAATACTAGTCATTCACATATAATATCAACATTTGGTTTAATTTGACACATGTCATTTAATGATGGGAATACTGTCACAAATGTCATCGAAAACAGTGAATATTCAATATTTAAAACAAAAAAACAACTTGAAAAATTTGTTGTGACAGTATTTGTTTTTCAAAATAATTAAGATCCTGTCAAACGCGTCTCAGTTTTTGAATAATATACATATGTGCTTACTGGATGAGTAACTTTCGAATGAGATTAGGTTAAAATTAGTGAACTGTAAAACATAGGTTTACAACTAATTATATACTACCGACACCAACAATTAATAATGTAAGCGAATAATACAAAGAATGCAGTTCCATTTGTTCACGTATTTCGTTTTTTCTGAGTTTCCTAATATCTGTAATGTCATCACGGAATAATTTTCGTTAGGAAGCTATATAAAACTTCAAATTTATTAATTATCATTTCCTCTTATTATTTTATTACTTAACAGCACGTACATACAATACTTTATAAAACCCTAGTTCAAGTTCCGCAGAAAATCTGTTATATTTAAACATTGAAACAATCCGGATGATATCACTTCAGTCTATTTGGTGTATGACACAATCATTATGCAAATATATTGATAAACCGTTGTATTACTTCATACATGATTGTTTCCATAGATCACGAGTTTCTACTAGGGTTCTATCAAATCTCTCAATTTTATTATTTATCGCTACATTTCAAGTTTGCTATAAACTGTTTTCAATTACTTTCGGTAGTAACTTATCATGTTTACATTCCTCAATTTCATTTGGTTCGTTCATATTGTCTTTTAAATGTTATTTACTATTGATTTGTTCAATACATCTTTTTAATTATCTTAATTTGTCTATGACTGAACAAAATAATCGATGAAACTAGAATTTATGGACGACCTTTGTGCGACACTGAAGCGACCTTGAGAATGTTCATCTACTTACCAGAGCTAAATGAGGGTTTTAAGCTGGTGTGAAGAATTAAGATTATGATTTAGGGTTTTTATCACGAGCTGACATAAGCTTAAATACGAAAACGTTATTTAGCCAAATGGATGGTCCTATTATACTAAATCTGATTGGTTCGTTCATAATGTATAGTCTCGCCAAAAAAATCTAATGAATTCTTTCTATCTTAAAATCTTCACCCTTTTTTTATTAAAGATGACTGAATTATAATGCTTAGAAAGGTAAGCTTCAGAACTGAATAAAAAACCCTTAATTAAGAATTTTCAGTTGTTCTTCTCTTTCAAAGATAATAACTACTTATATCAATAAATATTTTGTTATAAATACAGAAGTACCTACAAACAATGATTTAAGAAATAAGATTTTGGACAGTATGTAACAATATGAATTGATTTTTACTACTTTTATTTGTAGTATTCATTTAGTAGCAAAATAGGAAAATGAAAATCTTTGTTTATGATCACGTGTACTGTTTTGTTGTTATATGAATAACCTGAATATATTTTGTAGTGGATAAATATTGTTAAGTGTTGAGGTCAGGAATTAAATAGAAATTTTAATGAGAGTTTCATTAAAATTTTAAGGAAAGAAAATATTTTCGAAAGTCTTTAACATGTATTAATCTAACATAAAGCATTAATAATAATGCTTATAGAGTATAATGACTTCATTGTATTTCATTGATCTCTTTTCAACTCTATAATAGTTAATGAGTTCAGTTAATTTGAAATTTTACTATACTTTGAATTCTGAAAGAATTAATTGTCTATCATCGATGAACAATTTGTTTATAATGAAATTAATAATTTTTTGATTGAGATCATGAACCGATATTTACAATGTGCTCACTAGTGACTAGCTTCGTGAGAAAATTCTCGGAGTTCTGGTGAGAAGTCGTGACCAGTGGAGCTAATCCGTGTCGGGTAGAAACAGTTGTCTACCTCAGTACAATGGAAGATGGTCGCGCAACTTCGTGGGTTAGTTGAGGTTAGACATTAACACCATTGGATGCCGGCTCAGTGGTCCAGTAGGTTAAGCGTTCGCGCGCGAGGTTGAATGTCCTGGGTTCGAATCCCGCGGGCGGGATCATGAATGCGCACTGCTGAGGAGTCCCACAATAGGACGAAATGGCCGTCCAGTGCTTCCGGGTTTTGAATGGTGGTCTAACATCAATCGGTTCATGATCTCAATCAAAAACTTGACAATATCCACAACCCCTAAACTGAAGGTTAATAATTGATGATTTAAAAGGTGGTTGAGTAATGAGTAATTGTGGTTGATAGTTCTGGTATATTGGAGAGTACCATTTTTCGCGTATTGCAGTAGAAAATATGATGTAATATGTAAGAAAACAAAAATGAAGCATTTTGTTTCAAACTTATTGAACTCACTATATTTAAATGAAGAACTTGCCATAGGAGATGTTTGGTGAGAATTTATATATCTTTGTTTGCATTGCTCAGCAGTATATACGGTTGAGTTTAAATGTGTTGCTTAAAATTTTCCTCAAGAATTGACTATTTATTTTTGAGACATAATCACATTTGAACGTTAGTCAGGTAGTACTAGAAAAGAATCATGTTTCCATGTGATTCATCAAAACTGTTTTCATCCTCAAAGCTTTCATTTCTCTCTCATTTATTACGAAACTTTGGATTAATGATTGGACTTAGTCGATCACATCATAATGATATAATATACACAGATTAATATGTGAATAACTATAAATACGATTGTATACCTTTAGTGAGGGGTATAATCGAAACT